AGGTGATCAAATTGCTTCAAATGAGAATCATCTTTCCCATTTCCAATAGCAAATGGGTGAGTCCAACCCAAGTGGTGCCAAAGAAGACCGGAGTGATGGTCATCGAGAACAAAGATGGCGAGATGGTGCCCACCCGAGTTCAAAACGGGTGGCGAGTTAGCATTGACTACCGAAGGCTCAATTCAGTAACTAGAAAAGACTTCTTTCCCTTGCCCTTCATTGATCAAATGCTAGAGAGGTTAGCCGGCCACAAGTTCTATGGTTTTCTTGATGGTTACTCCGGGTATTTCCAAATACCAATAGCCCCGGAGGACCAAGAGAAAACAACCTTCACATGTCCATTTGGCACTTTTGCCTACCGAAGAATGCCTTTTGGATTATGCAACGCACCAGACACCTTTCAAAGGTGCATGATGAGCATCTTCTCCAAATTCGTGGAGGTATTCATGGAAGTCTTTATGGATGATTTCACAATCCATGGGGACTCTTTTGACACTTGCCTCTATCACCTCACTCTTGTACTAAAAAGTTGCATTGAATCCAACCTTGTTCTAAATTCTGAAAAATGCCACTTTATGGTAGAACAAGAGATTGTTCTTGGGCATGTGATCTCGTCAAAGGGGATTGAAGTGGACAAAGCTAAAATTGATGTAATTCAAACACTCCCGTACCCCACAAATGTACGAGATATCCGCTCTTTCCTTGGTCACGTCGGGTTCTATAAGAGATTCATCAAAGACTTCTCCAAAATTTCATCTCCTCTATGCAAACATTTGCAAAAGGAGGTGGAATTTGATTTGAACGATGAATGCAAAGAAACTTTCGATATTTTGAAAGCAAGATTGGTGACTGCCCCAATCATACAAGCTCCTGATTGGTCTCTTCCTTTTGAGATCATGTGCGACGCAAGTGACTATGCGGTGGGGGTGGTTCTAGGCCAAAAGATCGGGAGGGCTGCTCAAGTTATCTACTACACCTCCTCTACCCTCAATGAAGCACAAAAGAACTACTCCACCACCGAGAAAGAAATGTTAGCGGTGGTCTTTGCTTTGGAGAAATTTCGTTCCTATCTCCTTGGAACAAAAGTGATTATGTACACCGACCATGCCGCTCTCCGATTCTTAATGATAAAGAAGGAGGCCAAGCCAAGACTCATCTGATGGGTTCTTCTATTGAGTGAGTTCGATGTGGAGATCAAAGACAAGAAAGGAGCTGAGAACTTGGTGGCCGATCATCTAAGTCGCTTGGTTCCAAAAAAAGAAATCGAAAGCCTCCATACCAATCTCATAAAAGGCGAATTCCGAGACGAGACTCTCTTCTCCATCAAAGTTATGCAACCATGGTACGCAAACATTGTAAACTTTCTTGTTTCGGGCAAATTTCCTCCACAATTCTCAAAATCTCAAAAAGAAAAATTAAAAATGGAATCAAGACTCTATGTGTGGGATGACCCATATTTGTGGAAACATTTTAAGGATCAAATAATCTGAAGATGCATCCCCGAATATGAGATAGCCCACATTATAGAGTTTTTCCATTCTCATGCTTGTGGAGGACATTTCGGCCCAAAACGGACGACGATGAAGATACTTGAAAATAGCTTTTGGCGGCCAAGTCTTTTTTGTGATGCGAATGGTTTTTGTCGAGCTTGTGATAATTGCCAAAGAGTGGGGAATATTTCAAGGAGGAATGAGACGCCCCAAAACCCCATGCTTTTCTGTGAAATTTTCGATGCATGGGGTATTGACTTCATGGGAACTTTCCCAAACTCTCAAGGTAACATCTACATCTTCCTTACGATAGATTACGTCTCAAAATGGGTGGAGGCAAAAGCAACGAAAACTGATGATGCCAAGGTGGTGGTTAGCTTTCTCAAATCACACATATTTTCAAGGTTCGGGGTCCCACGAATTTTAATAAGTGATCGAGGCACACATTTTTGTAATAAAATTGTGGGATCCCTACTAAAGAAGTATGGTGTGACTCACAAGATCTCTACCGCTTACCACCCTCAAACCAATGGCCAAGCGGAAACCTCAAACAGGGAGTTGAAATCTATACTCCAGAAAACAGTGAACCCGAACCGCAAGGATTGGAGTACACGCATTGATGATGCGCTATGGACATACCGAACTGCCTACAAAACTCCAATCGGTATGTCCCCTTATAGACTTCTGTTTGGCAAAGTGTGTCATCTTCCCGTAGAGTTAGAACACAAGTCATATTGGGCGGTGAAAGAATTCAACCTCAATCTTGACGAGGCCGGTGTGCATAGGAAGCTCCGATTGCAAGAATTGGAAGAACTCCGCTTGATTCTTATGATAACGCGGAGATATACAAGAGGAAGACGAAGGAGTGGCATGATAAGATGATCATAAGAAATGACTTTAAACTTGATGACAAAGTCCTCCTGTTTCAATCACGCCTTCGTCTATTTCCGGGAAAACTAAGATCCCGTTGGACTGGAACATACAAAGTGGTCAAAATATATCCACATGGGGCGGTGGAAATTCAAGACCTGGAGACGGGAGAGGTGCTCAAGGTGAATGGATAGAGAGTAAAACCCTTCTTTGAAGGTTTTCAACCCAAAAATGTGGAAGTCATAGACCTTTCTGAACCGGTCTATGAATGAAGAGCAAAGATATCGTCGAGCCACGACGTTAAACAAAGTGCTTCATGGGAGGCAACCCATGCAAGGTTTGTTTTCTTTTCATTTTTGTGTGTGTGTTTAAACTTAAAAAAATGGGAAAAAAAATTTAAGGCCTGGGCACAAAACCGGCCAGGTAAACCAATTACCCGTTCGAGTAAGAGGTTTAAAACGCAAGCCCGAACCAAAATACCCGTCGGGCAAAACGTGATTTAATAAAATAGCATAAAACCCGATCGGGTATTCTGGAAACCCGACAGGGTAAAAGGCGAAAATGCTTTTGGTTCCCGAAAATCTGAAAATCCGTCCGGGTAAACTCCAAAACCCGCCGGGTAAAATTCAAAAAAACCTTTTGCCATGTTGAAAATCGAAAACTCGTCCGGGTAACTGCAAAAATCCGATCGGGTTTACGGGTTTTTACCCGATTATAACCCAAAATTGACGGGTTTTTCTTTATCTTCCCCAAATAATTTGCACCCCTCTTCTCCAAATCCTCCATAGCCACGATCAAGAAGCTCCAAATCACCCAAATCCCTCACCCAATTCCAAAATAAACCACATAAATCTCTTCCCCTCATCCTCCTCATCACTACCATACCTTCAATCCCCATTTTACTTCCCCCAATCCTCAACTCCGAACCCTAACCAAAAACAAATCCCCAAATTTCAATTTCTCTCAAGAAGAACATTATGCCACCCAAAAGAAGTCGTCCTTCCTCTTCCATGGCATCAGTTCCGGTCCCATAAGTTCCCGGATACGCAGGACTAGAGTTCACCTCCCAAGCTCACCGGAAAAAATTCATCGAGCAGACCAAAAGGCAGGTATACCCATGTCGATTCCTTTGCACTGTTACGTTGGCTGCCCTGAAGCTCTTTGAATTGATGTTTGAACTATGCGATAGGCTAGGTTTAGTCTCTATGATGAACATAGCCTATAATCCGAATGAAAAAGTTTTGTATGAAGTTTTGGGGTCTTGCAAATTCATTGAGAATGGCGCTGATGAGTATGAGGACAAACTCATGTTCCATTACCTCAACGATGAAAAAGAGTTAACGAAACGTGAGTTTGCAGAACTTTTTGGACTGTCAATTTTAGAGGAGGAAAGAAGGAAGAAAATTGGCACCTCGGTTGTGCATGAAATTTGGAAAAGAATGACAGGTGAAAGAGTTGTGAAAACTTCTCATATGTATATCAGTCACGTCCAACACCCTGTTTTTCGAATTTTCCTTAAATGGTTTGGTTATTTTGTCTTCGGTAGACCAAATAACCATCAAACTAGAAAGACCGATGTGGGCACTCTTGCTATGGCCGCTTTGATAGAAGCATCTAAACTGGATATTGCCTCATTGATGTGGAAACATTTGGAAAAAGAGTGTTGTGATGCCACAGGAGATTTGTTTATTGGGGGTATAGTACTCCATATATGTTCCAAATTTGGGTATACTCGCAGGCAACCAATGGTTGAGTGGGGTCTTGTCGGCACTCAATTTCTCCTAAATGCTCATGATTTAAGCTCTTCTCACACCTTTGGGGATAAATTTTTTTACAAATGGCATATCAACACCACCCCACAACGGTTCTTTATCCTTCCCACCGAGACAGAACTTCCCACTAATATTTTTGATACACAATTCGGGGATGGAAGACACTTTTGCCTCCCCGGAGCAATCCCGGAGCACTACATCATCCCAGAATAAATCCCAAAACAGCTTGAACCACCACCACACATCCCCAACCCACCACAAAATGAACCTTAACCCGACCCTCACGCCCCTCAATTTAGCATTTTTGAACAACAAATGCTAGCTGGGATGAACCAAATCCATCTAAACCAAACAATTATGGATGGGAGGATTAATAATCTATATGAGGAAGTCCAGCTGGCAAGGGAGGAACAACGTTTGAGGCTCGACTGCTTAGAAGAAAATCAACGTAGGGCATTGGGACCTATCCATGCCTACTTTGATAATCAGTGCTACTTCTCCTCCATACCAGTTCAGCATCAACACCCTACATGGTATGACCCCTCTTCTTGGGGCAATTTCGGTGGAGCAAGCGGTAGCGGAGGAGGCTATGGCGGTGAGGGCAGCGGTTATGGGGGCTACCACGACGAGGCTAATGACGGGGAGCACTAGGGACAGTGCTTGGACAACGTAGGGGGATTCACTCATTTGGTATGTACACCCTCATTTTCTACCATGATAACTTGCATTATTTTCTTTTAAAAAAAGCTAGTTAGATTGAAAACCCAAAAACAGGCGATCTAAGAAAAAAATTAAAGAGATGGTAGGATGAAAACCTGAAAAAGGCTCCCAGACAAAACGAGAGATGTGAGAGAAATGTGTACTTAAAATTCCAGAATTCCATTTCCGGATCGAAATTCACCATGATGATTAAAATCAACAACTAACTGGTCATTTTAGTCGAGTTATATACTCATAAGATGATGTCCCCTAAGCCAATCTCCGAAGATCGAGGTGGCTCTTCTCAGGCTGCTGCGTTTAGGCAAACACCCTTGCAGATAATCCATTTTATTGGAAACTTCATGAGAATATGGTCAGTTTACTCAATGTATCGCTATTTGTCTCAGACTGGGGCTTCTGTTGTACTATTTATCTTCAGCTGTCTTGTTCCGTCTTGCATCATATTGAAGGGCAGACCACTGGCTAATACACAGGTAGTTCCTTCGGTGATAAATGGTGCCATTACAGCACTATACTTCACCATGTGGGGGAAAGGCCTTAAATCTTGTGGTCCTGTGCGAGCCATATTAGCCGAATATTCTGGTGCTGTTCTTGGAGTAATATCTGCTCTATTCTTGGAGCATCGAGAAGAGTGATTGCTCGGCGGGTGTCCCTTAAGAACCAGCTGAAAAGACGACTCAATGCCATAACAATTGCTTCTGCAACATGTTTTTTGATTATAGGATCAAATAGTGTAGAGTTGCCATTTTCTGCATGGACTTTTACAAGTACCATTTTGTTTGGCATCATAATGATATTCTACGTTGATGGTATTGCAGAGGAAAGGTTGCAAATGGTTTTTTCTTCTCCAAGGCATTTAATGGCTGCTGGAGGATGCATCATTGTCATGGAATTTGCGTACAAAATGGACTTCTCCCTGCCTGGTTTTCTGATATGTGCAACCATTTTGGGATTTGGGATATATGAAGCAACATCACTGGACATTACAAGGAAGGGTTCTTCACAAAGCTCAAGTCTATCAAATGGGCTCTTGGATGATCGAGTTGAAATGTCCCCTCTTCCAACTTAACGAAAACTATACGCGTGGGTCAATTTTCGCCAATCACATCACCAAAGTTCCTTAGTCATAGAACTCTGAGGCAACATGTGTAATATCCTGAGGTGCTGTCATTTGACCAAACTTCTTTACATTTTCCCCCAATTTAAGAGTTGAGAATTTCTTGTACAGCTAAGTAGCTAACATTGGATACCATTCATACTAATTTGATATTTTAATGCTTAGGTTTAAAAAAAAAAAGGAGAGAAATGTGTACTTTTTGCAGAATATCATCTCTTGAAGAAAGAAGAAGAAAAAGGAGGAGGAGGAGAGGGAGAAAAAGAAACAAAGAGCATAGAAGACCAAAAAACCCAAGAAAATGTTGTTTTGTAACTCATTTGCAACCCTTGGTGGTCTTATGTTCTTTCTTGCTATTCTTGAACTTATGATCTTTTGTTGACACTTGTGCAAACATTTGGCTTTACTCGAGGTCGAATAAAGAAACTAAGTGTGGAGGAGTTGACATTCATGTAATTTCCATGTTTATGTTTGTATTTTTAATTAGTTTTGATTGATTGTTGCTTTGGAAATTACACACTTTTGGTGTAATAGTTTAGTATGTAAAATAGTTGTAATTTGTTTAGATCAGGGATTTTCTGAGCTTAAACTAGGTAAAGATCATCAAAAGGATCCTGGAAAAGTCAAGGAAAGTGCAAAGGCGACAAGAGAAAGTGGAAATTTGGGAAAATAGTCAAAAACCCGACCAGGTTTTCCAAAAACCCGATCGGGTTTGACTTGACCCGAAGATCGAATTTTGATTTGGAGGCAATTAAACGTGCAGGGCGAAGATTTGGCAAGGATTTGTCTTTTACGCGATTGGGTAAATCAAAAACCTGATCGGGTAGATGTGACTAATGAAGATTCCGGACACTTACTCAAGAAACCCGATCGGGTTTCTGAAAAACCCGGTCGGGTAAATGACCCTGCCACCTCCAAACACCTATAAATACACCCCCTTTCCTTCCCATTTGATCACCAATTCACATATACTCTTAAGCTCAGTCTAGAATAGCATTTCTTTATATTTTTATAGCATGTTTAGTCTCCAAATGATGCTATAGGTGTGAATCTAGCGTCGGTTATATTGATGCTAAAGATCGGAAAATTCTGATTTCTATTCAATTTATAGCGACTTTTAGCGTCGGTTATGACGGATGCTAAATAGTGAGAAATTTTGATTTCTCCCAGGTCTTCACTGTCGAAATGAACCGTTGCAAAAGTTATCGACTTTAGCGTCGGTTACTAGGGATGTTGAAGTTTCAAAATTTTTGAATTGTTTTAGGTTTGTAACATCGAAATAAACCGTTGTGAAAGGTAACAGGTTCTAGCGTCGGTTGTTCCAACGGTTCCAATAACCGACTACATAGTCACACCCATGGAGCAGTTACTGAGGGTCTTCAAGACCGTCGCAGAAGACGTTAGCGTCGGTTATACGCGACATGAACGTGTTCAAAGACCGACGCCAGTAGCCTGTTTTTTTGTAGTGACCTATCTTGCTTGGATTCAACAGTTCTAGATGGGCATGGATGCCTAAATTGGTTCAGAAGAAGCCCATAAATCAGTGGGTTCCTAACTCTTGTTATTAATGAAAGCAGGAAGGTGCTAGAGCAGCAGCAAAAGAAGTTTGGTATATTGATTCAGGCTGCTCCAGGCACATGACAGGCATCAGGAGGATGTTGACAAACTTTATACCAGGAGAAGGACCAAAGGTCACCTTTGGAATTGAAGAGAAAAGAGGAGAAACAAAGGGAACATGAGAACTAAGAAGATTTGGGCTTGTGATCCGCAACATATCTTGTGTTAAGGGTCTCAAGTTCAATCTGCTTAGCACTAGTCAACTGTGTGACACTGACTATAGTGTGGAATTTTCAAAAGGCACTTGCTCAATCATAGACATTATCACCGAAGAAACTGTGCTCACATGGAGAAGAAAGAAGGATATGTACATTGTTGATTGAAATACATCCAAACAAGGAGTCTGTCTTATTTCAAAAGACAACTCAAATATGTGCTGAGAATGACATAACAAACTGAGTCATCTGAATCTCAAAACAATCAACAAGCTCTCAAAGAAGAGACTGGTAGAAGGCTTACCCTAATTGAATTTCAAGAAGGATCACCTATGTGATGCCTACCAGAAGGGAAAGCAAACAAAGGTTTCATTCAAAACCAAAATGACAGAATCATCAACGAGGCCATTAAGCCTTTTACACTTAGACATGTTTGGACGAGTTCAACCAACAAGCATAAGTGGAAAAAGGTATACCCTGGTGGTAGTAGATGAATACTCAAGATTCACATGGACTATTTTCATGAAGAAAAAAAATGAAACTGAAAGAAGACTTCCTGAAGTAATGAAGCTAATCCAAAATGAGAAGAGTCTCTCTATCCAAACAATCAGACCAGATAGAGTACTGAATTTGTCAACCAGGTTATCACACAATACTGTAGCATCTCTGGAATTCAGCACCAACTCTCAGCAGCAAGAACTCCCCAACAAAATGGGGTTGCCGAAAGGAGAAATAGAACCTTGAAGCAAACAGGAAGGAACATGATTGAAGCAGCCAATTTACCAAAAAGATATTGGGCAGAAGCTATCAATACAACATGCTACACTCAAAACAAAAGTCTAATACATAAGACTTATGAGAAGACTCCATATGAGTTATGGAAGGGAAGAAATCCAAACATCAAATATTTCCATGTGTTTGGCAGCAAATGCTACATTCTGAACAATGGAAAGAACTATCTCAAACTATTTGATGAAAAATATGATAAAGGGATCTTTCAGGGATACTCTACATCATCAAAGACTTTCAGAGTTCTCAATAAAAGAAGTCTCATTGTAGAAGAATCCATCCATGTTGACTTTGACAAAGAAACTCAAAAGCGAGAAGAAGAAAACAACAGTTGATATGAGTTTTCTCGCACTTAAAAATATGTAGTAGAATAGTGGTGTAAGTATGAGTATCGTCTCCACAGGAACGAAAAAAGGGAATTAAGAATTAAATAAATTCAGCGATTAAAAATAAATAAATAAAAATGCAATTGTGCGAGATTGGGTGGTTTGGAAAATTAAACTAATGCGAATGAGCGATTAAAATAAAAGGTTGGTTTCTCTCTAATTAACGATGAAGGGAACAAGGATTGATTCCAGGGTAATCAGATTTCTGGCTGATCAGGCTTAACTACATGAAATTAATTTAATTGAGCCTAGCTAGTCATTATTAAGTTCTTACCGCTCTCGCGGCGTAGAGTACAATAATTTAGGGGACCATGCTGATATCTCATGCGACAGGATCCTAAATTATTTCCAAGACGGGCGAGCTTACGGCCCCTTAATCGCTACTAATCTCTTAGGGAGCGATTAAGTGTGTGTGAAAGTGTCTTAGAATAAACTAGATCTCTCTTAATTTATTCTACAAGAAATTGTAATTCTAGCCGCGGTTCTAGGTTACAAAAGATATCAATTAATCATTCAAACACAAGTTAAACGCATTCATGTAATTTAAACCATCAAGAAACTAGCCATACATCGTGATTAACCCCTTCATCTACCCCAAATCCCTAATTAAAACTACTCTCGACTCATAATTGAAGAATCATCAGAATTGGGATGAATAGAAATAATTGTCATTAATTAAAAAGATGAACTTACAAATAATCTCAGGGTTCTTGAAGAAAACAACGTAAGAATGCAGGTAGATTCGTCTGTAGGCCTCTCCGTAATGTTCGTAACACTTAAACAAGAGAAGGGAAGCCTTATTTATAGAAAACAGATGAGTTTGGGCTGAAATGGGACTAAAAGGGGGTCAAAATCCACGTTTCTCGATCCGCGTTTCGGGCGTATGCACGATCATGCGTCCCCGGCCACGCACGATCGTGCGTACATGGCAGTGGCTCCTTTGCTTTCTCGCCTCGGAGGCTATCAATTTGCATAAACAAGTCATTGGGAATGGCTTGTAGCAGATAAGTGGCAGCAAGAAGATCAACCTTTGCTCTAAGCTTCTCTGATTCAGTGTAATCATCTTCAGATTTTAATGCCTTACCAGCTGGAATGGGAGGATTGTTTGTTGAGGCTGCTGGAACATCAACCCAAACTTCGAGTGGTCCTTCATTAAGAGAGATCAGAATATTCTTTTCGTTGTCTCGACTTCGAATAAAATTGAGAAAACGGACTTTCCAAACAGCAAATTCTCCCCTTCTAAGCAGAGGAGGTCTTGAATCACTTCCAAGTGTGTATGCTTCCATGACTGTTGATGATCTTTAAAGGCGAGAACTGTTCTGATTTAGAAGAGATTTCAGTACTGCTAAAAGAAGATTTCGGATTCAGATCTCGGAAGAAGATTTTGGGTGTCCGATATTAGAAACTCGGATCTACTGTTTTCGGATGTTTCGAAATTGTAATCTCGGATGCACTAATTTTGGAAGTCCGAATTTGTAATCTCGGATGCACTGATTTCGGAAGTCTGAAATTGTAATCTCGGCAAGGCGAATTTTAGGAAACTCGGATGGTCTTCGAAATCAGATTTCGGATGAGCGAAATTATGGTAACTCAAGTTGTACTGGGATTTTTCTTCCGTAGCTTTTCAAGTTCCGATTGCCTTCTTAAACAGGAAGTTTCCAAGAACAAATCTAGAGATCAATTCAACCAAAAATTGTGGTTTTGATCAAATTAATTCCAGAAAAATTCGAGAATTCTCAAAAACAGAATTGCGCCGAGTCGCTGATACCAATTGTGTGAGATATGCCCAAATTTCAATAGTCAAATAATCTAATAATAATAGAAAGAAATAAAACAGTAGAAGAGAAATTTCACCAATAACATTCACCGTGTATATAGAATGATGAATCCATGAAGAACAATACACAGTACTCGAACAAGCTAGAGAGAGAATTTCTAATCTACGTGCTCTACCAGAATAATATGCGGAATAGAATGTGTAGAGACTTAGAGACCAAATTCAGCCATCTCAGCCTATATTTATAGGTGAGAGATTCGAACTGCCTAATACAATTAGGAAGCAACTAGGCATGCGTGTGGGCTATTAGAGCACTTAATCAATTGGGTCTAATTCTCTCTTAGCTAATCTAATTAAATACAAAGACTCATTAATTGAATTACAGTTTATTTGAACACAATAAAATAATATTCTAACAGCCACAAGAAATCTCAATTCATTCTAAAGTGT